GGATTTGTCTGAAATCTTCCTCACTTCCGTTTCCAGAGCTATTCCTATCGATGCAATTTCTGCTTCAAGAGCTTTGATTTTCTCTTCCAGTTTTTTCTCTTTACCGGCAAGTGTGCAAATTGCTAAAACAAGTGGATTTTTTACAACTCTGTTAATGGGGCTTAAGTAATAAGAGGTTTAAATCTCTTTTTGTCTTCCACTTCTTGTTATCTTGCAAAGTCTTTAGCAGCAAGAGTACATGGCTTACGAGGATTTCTTTCACAAAGAACAGAACAGTTGCTGCTATGCAAGTTATGTACAATTTATGTGCCTTTTCTGCCATTAACCAAAACCACTTTGATGTCTTTCCAGAGGAAACACGCTTTAGCCCATAGAACTTTTCGACTGAGTCCTCAATGCCCTGGCATGGTTTCCATTGTGATGTTCTTTCTAAAATTGCATTAATTTTCATTTCTAAACTGTTTGCTTAAACTACCCTCCACAACAAAACCAATGGACTCATCCACAGTTACCTTGATCACAACATCTCCCAGTGTATTGATCAAGCCAAAAACCAAATTGTTTTCAGTGTGAACAAGTTTGACCCAAGGAGCATTTACCTTTGACAGATTTTTCTCTAACTCTTTAAAATCTCTATATAACAAGGGTAATTTGGATAACAAGGGAAAACAACTTCCCTTTTGCACACCAGCTGACGTCTTTCAGCTGCCTCTTTTGTTTCTCGTGACTCCTCTCCGCCATAAAATTGGTTGGTATTAAACCCAAAACAAGATATCTTCTTCCTGTCCTATCTGAAATACACTATTTAATAAATAAATGTCACATGTTGATAAAAAGGTCATATTGCTACTACTATCAGTATTCAGAAACAATTGCCTTTAGAAAGAACTGTAGAATTACAAACATTGATATCTTAATAAAAACTTCATTGATGTTTTCAGTGTGAAAAATTTTGACCCAAGGAGCATTTATCAGTATACGTGGAGTCTAAGTCTCATAAAGTATAGCACTTTATATTTGACAAACATTTAACTGCAATATGCCCAGTTTTGAAACACATAAAGCATCTTACATTTTGCATCGAAATTCTTCTTCTATTTGAGGCCTTCGTGACAATTTGACACTTCTGTGACATATGTTTACCTTTGCAAAATACGCAATTCTCTTTGCCAACACGATTGCCTGACGTGGTTGCCTTTCTTCCTGTTCTCTGTAAGACGAAAGTCTGGGTAACCGTTCCCTGCCGTCGTTCGGCATGGGAAAGCAATTTACTTTTAGCATCAGTTTTTCCTTGAAGGTATTCAATAAGCGCTTTAAATCCCACTTTTCGTTTCCTAGTTGTCTACTAATAGTGATCTTGAGTTCATTTGGTAATTTTCCAACAATACAGGGGTCAATTATGTTCGACAATTTTTTCAGTTATCCCCAAGCCATCAAGACTGCGAACACTCAGCTCCGTTTTTTCGTAAGGAGTTCAGAAGTTTTTGAAATAGTTACAACTTTGAAATAGCTACAGCTACAACGTGTGTAGAGATTAAGATTTGTTTTTGTCCAAATCTCTCCTTCAAAATTTGCAAGGGGCTTTCATAATTTGCATTCGTAACTTTTAGTTCAGTAATCACTTTCTTTGCTACATTTTTCAATAAAGACTGCAAGTATTGAAATTTCATAACATTCGACAAGTGAGGGTCGCAAAGTCCTGCCGATTCAAAAATGTCATAAAAGGAAGGCCACTTGTTTACCTTGCCGTCAAATGTTGGCATCAAGAGTTTTTGCATCTTTGCTTGTTGTTTAAATTCTCCTTTTGTTTCCGCACTGGTAACCGACGAATTATTAACGTTTTTGTTTCCAGTAGATTGACCATCTTTGAAACTGAAACTTCTAAGTTCTCCTTCTATGATGCACAAGGCATCTTCAATTTCACTCTCAAACTCCAGTTTCTCCTGTGTCTCCTTTTCGACTGCTTTCTCCGCTTAAAAAATCGAAAATTTCGTTCTTCAAAGTATCCAATTCTAACTCCTGTTTATTCGGTGTGCATTGATAAGATTCAAGTTTGTTCTTAGATAATTTGGATAAATCCCATCCTTTTTCAGGTAAAAAATCTCCATTTACATTACATTTTTAATTATTTAGGCACGATAGTCCTGTCAGTCCACCAGAGCTGCTTTTCAGGGGGCTGTGACAAAAACATTCATAAGTAAGAAGATAGATTCTACGAAAAAGGAATGATCGTTCAAGCATAAGCGTCAAATCTTGATTGGCTAGGAAAGGAATCCCCGCCACGGGAATCGTCTTCGAACTGAACCAATAAGGTTGCGAGAAAGTCTCAAGAAGCACGTTTTTTGGCCTCATGAACCCCCTCCCTTTAAAAAGAATCTGATCACACATACAGTGGGGGAATGGGATAAAACTTGGCTATTTTATTCCAATGACCCCGACGCACATTTCCAGAAAGAGCAAACGCGCGATCTCAAGTTTTGCGAAAGTTATCACACTTGTAGATTTTGATAAATATCTAATGAAATAATATGGTTACTTGAATAATCTAAATACCTACATGACAATATAGTATCAACTTAAACCCTGAACATTTCTTTCCACACTTCTTAAAATTTTCTCTGCACAAAATGTTTCGCTAATGTTGATATGGCCTATCAGTATCGCCAATAAGAATCCGTTCAAATATAAGATCCATAGGGTGGTAAACTTCAATAGCATTTCAAATTAATTAGAAAATTAAAACCTGGTACTTACAAAGCTGTTGGTTTGGCAACCATAATCTTAGGTAATACAAAATTCATATAACTGTTTTGCAACATAAAATCGACAAACATGCAAACTTCGTAAAACTCACGTGACATTTACGATGGTATAGTGCGAATCGGAAAAACAGTTTTGGCGCGAAATGTGGATCGAATCCAGTTAATCCCAAACCGGGGGATCAAGAAGGAATAAATAGTACATCTGGTAAAACAAAATATATATTGTCAATTAAACAATATGTTTATTGTCTTAAAGTGTAAGATTTTATTACAAAAATCGAATCCCTGACAACGGGGTGTGTTACCCCCGCTGCCCATACACAGGTTGTAGGTGGGGAAAAAATAATCGAAACACTCGTTTTCGCTTGTTACGAAATTGATAATTTTCAGAAATGGGAAGAAAATATAATACGCAATGTGCCAATTCTAAACATGACGAATGGAGAAGTAATTCGAATGTTTTTCTTAATTTAAAGTTCATAGTTGGCCAGAAAAGTGTTTTTTATACTGCGTTTGAACAAAAAAGCAGGAAACTCAGGGACAAGTTTTGTACCGACTTCCTGATAAAGTGCTGGAACAAACGGACATATACATCCAAACTACCAACTAACTTTGAAGCTTTACACTCTTATAGACAAGTAAGGACACAATAATTATTAAAATAAGAGGGGTGTGTCCTCAAAGGAGGCCTTTAAACACAGATATTTCAATTATGCTTGATTAATTGTCTCTACATTTTCATAACAAATGAATTACTAAGATTGCATTCATTTAAAAGTTTGAACAAAAGTTTTTAGCATTGAAAGGAAGGGGTATTTTGTTACATGGCATTTTAAAATGAGGGGCACTTCCTAGCACTAATACAGTATTTACATGAAAAAACTGCTAAACTTATTTAAACAAAATCTTGTCAAGTTTCAAAATTTAGGTAAGGGAAATAATGGAGTGGTTTTGCCCCCCTAAATCTGACATACCGTAAATCCTCAAATTAGCCCGTGTAGGCTTATCTATTTTTAAAATTTTTGGATGGGGTTTATTCAAGGGGGGCTTATAAAATCATAGTAGAAATTTAGAAGACATTAACAAAAGACCTTGTATATTTTAGTAGGAATTTCTTTATGAACATTTAATTAACTATTACCAAAAGTACGAATTTCAATAAAACACCAAAGGCAACCTTAGATAGCAAAAATTAACAAATTGAGGGGGCCAACTCTAGGATTTACAGTAGCAGTAGGGGCTTATTGGAGGATTGATGGTAATTCAGACACATGAAGCAGCAATAAAGCAAATGCTAATTTCATTTCATTATGAAATAATTGTAGTTCCACTAAGGTCTTCAAAACATCTACTTTTGTATGTCTTCTTGATATTTTCGTGTGTCTCTTCTTCAGATAAAACTATCTTTTAATAACTTAATTTCAGTTGAAGGAAAGCATTGTAGACTATGAATCAAGCCAATCATCTCAAGCTAGCAATTTTGGCTCGCAAGAATTTTCTGTGGATGTTCTCCATGAGGAACCTCAATCTGCAGATGAGATTCAACAGCCATTGTTTGAGGAAGCAACCATCAATGGTAAAACATTTTGCTTAGTTCCAAAAGAAATGATAAAGTATATACCAACAGAAGGTGTTCATGTTGAAGTCCTTGATGGCATAGGTGCTGTGGATTTGTTTACATCCCCACTAGCATTCTTCCCAAGCTGGAAAAGGTCATAACAAGCAGCGTTGACTTGCAACTGGAGGTTAAACTTCTCCGTGAGCAGCTGTGGTTTAGCTATGGAAGTAGCGAAACCATTCCTCCATTTGAGCCAGAAAAGATCCAGGAGGTTTGCAGGACTGCAGGTGCAACAAAGCTGTTTCATGCCATCACAACAGCAATGTCACAGGAACACCAGACGCCTTTCAAGAAAGAGCAAAATGAAAAGAAAGCTGTGGCCATAATATACATGTTGGTGTATGGACAGTCCCAAAAAGCCAATTGGTTCCAGAAAATTTTTCATCTTTAAAACTCATCTTTAAAAAGTAATTCAAGATGACTTGAGTTGATTAAACTTTGTGTATTAGACATATGTTTATACACTTGACTTGCAGAATCTAAGTTTTATTGCAAAAAATTGCTTTTCTCCCTAACATCTGCATAAGCATATATTTGCATTGTGCAATTGTTATTAGCTTGTAAAATTATCATAGGTTTAATTTTTGGTTTTGTTTCAGGTAACTTCAACAGCAACAAAAATGGCAACCATACTTCTAAAAAAGTTTCCATCAATACCTGCTATTTCTTCTACTGATGCCAGCTTCTTGAATCAAGACGGGATAAGCATTGAAATCCTGGGAAATCATTTGAAAGAAAATTTACCAAACTTGCTTTCTTCTTTTGCAACCATCATGCCATACTGGGTCAAATCATCATTTTTCAACCCTGAGATTAAAAGAAGCCGCTTAGAAATCCATGATTACCAACAGGATCAAACCAGCACAAAATCTCTGCGAAAGATGGAAAATTGCAAACTTGTAGATGAGGTTGAGCAAAAATTGAGAAGTTTTGACGACTTTCTCAAAACTTCTGCTCATGCCTTGAAACTTGGTCTTCAAAAATATCTTCAGTACTTTCTTTGCCCCCAGCCTGGGGACTGGCCTGCTCAATTCTATATGAGGCAGGTTCAGTATAACATTCCTGAAAACTTTCCATCTTGCTTGAAAAACATTATACCAATGATTGGTCCTCTGCATATTCAGCTGAATGCGAGAGAATGTGTTTGCTTTCTAAACATTGACTTCTTTAAAACGTTCTATTCCTTTATTTGTGGGGATGAAAAACAACTTGCAAACAAGCCAAAACCATGGAGAATTTCTTTGCTGTTAGAGATACTTTATGGTGGGTGGACACTCATCAGAGAACAAGTAATTGTCATTTTCTCCAATTGCAAAAGCATAGAGTTCTTAACTCTCTTGAACATCTTAGACAATTACCTTCCACTTGTACTGTCTATCTACTCAGTCATCTTTAAAACTGGTAGAACCTCTGAGTACCTGCATGCAGTGTTGAGGTATTGGTTAATGTTCTTTTGCTACAAAAGACATCATTATAACAAAGCTCCTTTGGTCTGGCTAAGTAATATTCTGTTTTGGAAGGCTAAAAATCATCCACTTTTTCAAGCTCGTTTAAGCAGCCTCAATGCTTTTGATGAATACCCAGTGGAGAACTCCCACTCTCTCTTAAGATCACAAACAGTGCAATCTGATGATGCTGAACTGATCTCAAGAAAGGCCAAAGGAGTTGACAGCAACAAGACAACATCAGCTAAATTTTCATCAGCATTTGTGAGGCCAAAAAAATTTAACTTCAGCAGTTCAAAACTCAAACAGCTGAAAATCAAGGCATCCAAATTTATTTTCAACATTTTAAAAAGTATAAAGGAACAGCCAAATGCAGCATCCCAAGTCAATCGCCCAGCAAATCGGCAAAAAGGCATGACATATTGGAAACTGCCTCATATATATGGAGAATCCATTGTTTCATCAAAAGTGCTACCAGTAGGATTTCAGTTTGCAGGGAAGGAACCAAATCCTTTAAGGTTTGTAGCACCGAGAGCTGGGCAAACTGCCAAATAGATAAAAACACTTTAGCAAAAAATTTTTAAAAATTGTTTTTAGTGCATATATAAAATATAAGTACTTTGCTTAGTATACAACTGTTTACAAGTATACAATATCCAAAATCATATACCCTTGGATTTGTTTCAATTCCTTGTCCTATTCACCTAGCCAATTTCAAGTTTAGAAATAAACTCTTTACTGATTATTTAAAATGAGCTGGTGTCAAAATCAATTTTTTTTAGTATTGTCAAGTTAAAAATCTATAGCTACTTATCGAATAACAACTAAATGCAAAGTAAAATATGTTTTGAACCGAACACAAATTATTGCTAGGTCTCATTGTCTCATAATAATTGCCTTCAAAATTACAATAAAATGATATGCTCCACTTATACGAAATTTTTATAAAATGTCTGGAACTTAAACGAAATTTTCGTTGTAGCAAATGCGACTTAGCCGACTGTACACACCAAGAGACAGGATCTGGCATCATATTGTTCCAGACATGTGGGCACTCCTTCCACACTGAATGCTTGTCCGGTGAAGAGAAACGGGCATGTACAGTTTGCAGTGAGGAGATTCTCAAGGCCATGAAGACCCTAGCCTCAACAGCGAAGGAATCTATCTTCAATCCAGACATCAAAGAAACTCCAACGTCGAATGCGCACGAAGATGATGACATTACCAATGATGAAATTGTGGAAGAAGACAACCTGGACGCTGCAGAATCGTGCCTACAAATTCAACAAGAAATTTGTAGCTGGGGCCTTATAAATGGTCCTATTTGAATTATTAAAAACTCGAAAATCGATTTTACTAAAGACAGAAAAGTGGCCTAGGCCTCTAAACTATGCTATAAATTATTGATACAGTAAACTCCATTTAAATTTCGACCAAAACATGTGAAAATTGTAATCAAAGCCCCGTGGGTATTAACATTCTGCTTCATCCA